CATATTTAACAATCCGTTGTGGCAAGATTAGTAATTATAATCTTGCCATCGGTAATGATTTCCATTTTATCATTTTATCACGCAAAAAAGGATTTTGATTCGGCCCAAATAAATCGCACCAAATTTTATTTTTAGGAAAAGGACGAGTTTTTTCTGAAGCCACAGACTTAATTACTCAAAGGCGTTGTAGTTTAGAACCTGAAACAATAAGAATTTGCACGTGTTGGCGGAGACGGTGAATTTGAATTGAAAAACATAGAACATCGTTAGAGTTTCTATTCGAATAAGTTTATTCGAATTATTTGTTTTATTCGTTATGAATTTGAGTATTGAAAGTCAGTCGAATAAAACGAAACGAATAATTCGAATAATCGCTACCATGATATAAAATTATAGACTATGTATGTATTTAGGAACAGAATCCTTCCAGCATCTCTACTTTGCAATACACGTCCGCCAAAACCAAGCTACAAGTTATTTGCGCACCTAACGAATTTAGAATGTCTGAAATTTTTTGGTCAAATGTAAACCGAATCGCTCAGAGCTTTACCTGTGTCCTAATAAATGCATAAATAAATATATGAAATTATTTTGATGTCCATCTTTGAAAATAACATAAAATTTCATGCACTTTAGTAAAATTTATATACGACCAAGTGAAATCCTACAAATTACTTGATCGACTTGATATAGCAATAACATCCTGTTAAGGTATATATTCAAATAAAATATCATTGTTTTACTGTTATTTGTGGCGGTTTTTTTCTATTTTAAATCGATTTTGTCACTTTCTGACATACAAATGCTCACCATGTTTTCATGAACCGAAATAAATACTGTTTGTTAAATAATTTATAGAATCAAATTAACAAAAAAAAAATAATGAATATTCTAGTGACAATATTGTTAATGTCGATACCAGAAGATTTTTTTTTATCATTATCATCGCTTCTATACATTGAAGCTTTTTTTATCGAATATGAATTTTTTAGAATGTTTATATATTTACAAATTGGTGAAAATCTACATGATTTATTTATTTATTCATTTATTTATTTATATATATTAAAATATGAATGAACTATACTAAATTTATTTACATCAAAATAACCAAAATCTAATTTACTACATAATAATATCAGATGTCAGATCAGCTAGAAATTCTTCTTGGATGTAATATAGATTTATTTAATTATTAACTTAAAATAATTAATTATCTTCTGTTTCTACGATAATCCTATAAATTTGGAAAAATATATATTTAACTTCTTATTAACCAAAAAAAACAATTTAAATAAATAAACAATATACTTACATCACCGGGAAACCTTTGAAATCGATAATCTTCATTTCTTTTGCCCCATTCTTTTCTTTCTTCGCGTTCTCTATCACGATCTCTCCATTCTCTACGATCATGCATTCCCCATCCTCCTCTATCAATGGGAGGAGGAGGGGGAGGAGGGGGAGGTCTGATATAATCCCTTGATTGTCCATCACCAATACTACTACTAGGTATGCCACTACCACTACCACCGCTATCATTTGAACGTATTTGATCTCTATCATCATCATTATTATTAATTGGTGATGATAATCCATCTGGATTTTCTGGATCATAAGGTGAGGATGACGATGGTGACATCAGTATTGAGGAGGAAGAAGAAGGTGGCGGTGGTGGTGTATTTGTTTGATTTGGATGCCTTGATGTGGTTGGTGATGAACTTGGTGAATTGAAATAACCTCCTGAGTTCCCATGATACCTACCACCACCACCACCACCACCACATCTTTCACTTGGTGATATTGGCATACCTCTAAAAGGTCCACCTGATGATGATCTTGGCCCTCTATAATGATTGCCACCACTACTGTTACTTCCACCTCCACTTTGAAAGTTACGCGATGGTGGTAATCCACGTGAAGGAGGAGATACTGGTGGCAGTTGTGGTGGCGGTCTTGACGAGGAAGAGGATGATGATGATGATGACCTACCATATTCATTTTGATTTATTGAATCAACATCTTTTGATGTATGATAATCATATGAGTAATTTCTTGATTTATAAATATTTGGAAAATTGAAATTGAAATCTACTGGGAAATAACCATCATTTATCAGTGTGGTTTTTTGACTATCTGGTGTACTAAAACAATCATTATTATTGTTGTTGTTATTATTATTATTATTATTATTATTATTATTATTATTTGTATAGTTTGTAGCAGAGTTTTCTTTTGTTGTTTTTGTTGGTGGTGGTGGTGGTGGTGGTGATGATGATGATGATAATGATTGTTGTTGTTGTTGCTGCTGCTGCTGCTGTTGTGTTAAAAATTGTTGTTGCTGTTGTTGTGTTAAAGGCGGTTGTTGTTGTTGTGTTAAAGGTGATTGTTGTTGTATTAAAGATTTTGCTGATGCCATATTATAGGAAGTCGTAGAATACGAAGAATGTGGTTCTTCAATTTTTGACTCCATTTTTTTAATACTAATTGATTCATTTTTATTTTGTTGCTCAGTAGCAGAGGAGTAAGAAGAAGAATGTGGTACCAATAATGGTTGTTTTGATGTGGTAGTGACAATATTAGCATTGGTAACTGATAGTGAGGTTGGTGATGTTGTCGATGGTAATGTATATGATGGTAATGGTGATGACAGATTGTTTGATTGAGGTTCTGATAAATGTTTTTTTGGCTCGTCAGTTTTCGAAATCAATGGAGAACCGTTCAAACCTTTCATTTGTTTATATTCTGAAAATGAAATTTTTCTCTTGGACAATGAATCATTTGCCTGAGGCTTAGTGGTGGTAGGTGAAGAAGAAGAAGTTACTGATGGTGGTGGCTTTGTAGAATCTGATTGTTGTGTGTTTTTAGGAAAGTCTGTATTTGTTGTTGTTGTCGAAGATTTATTATTATTGGGATAAATATTGAATGGTGAGGTGTTACTAGTTGTTTTTGATGTTTCCAATTGATATGGTAATGGTGTCGATATTGTTGGTGATGAAGCTTTCGTTGTCGGATTGGAAGTTTTATTTGTGTCATAGTGAGAAGTTGTTGTAGTTGGCGAAGTTAATGTCGGTATCTTAGATGACGGTAATGGTGATGGTAATGTGGTTGATATATTTGTAATTGGATTAATGTTTGATGACGATGATAATGTTGTTGATCTTGGTAAATTTATTTGTGAATATTTAAAAGAATCTGTTTGTGTATTTTGGAAATTATCATTACCATCAACATTATTATCGTTTGTAGAAGTTGAAGTTGTTGTTGGGATATTATTTGATGTTATTGACGAGGATGTTGTTTTACTTATATTTGGTTGATGTTGATTATAATCTCTTATAATTTCTGTATCTTCTTTGAGATATTTATTTTTAATAGTAGAAATATTAGAAGATGTAGAAGATGAGGCAAAATTTAAATTTGAATCTCTGACTTTTGAAATATCACTTGATGCTGAACTTAGTTTACGTTTTTTTGGTGACGATATAAAATCCGATTTACTTGAATTTTCTTCATTAATTACATAGTTCTCATCATTATCATCGTTATTATCATCAATATTATCGAGGTTGTTTATTGATTCAGATTGGTTATTTGTAGAATAATAAGGAAATTGATTAAATGAAATATTCTTTGATATATTTTCTTTTCTACTGACTGCAGCAGTAGATGTTGCAATAGTAGTAGATAAATGATTATTGTTTTGTTTCGGTTGCATCATTTCATTTCTATTTTCTGAATCTGTAATATGAACAATCTTCGGATTGTTATCGTTACTGTTATTATTGTTGTTGTTGTTATTATCAAGTTCTTTTGATTTCTTGTCATAATACGTGACATTTCCTCTCATCTCTAACTTATTATTAAATTTATTTCTATCATTTCCTAATCTCGTATATTCATCATCGCCATCATTGCCATTATCATCTAATTCCATCTGTTTAATAACATCAGACGATTCTTTATAACCCCTGTTGTTATTAATACTGGTTGAAGGTTTATTTTGAAGTGTACTAATATCAGCACTAATATTATAATTAGATTTGTTTTGTCTAGTATTAGCGTAATCGACAATCATTGAGTTATCATTATTATTATCATTATTATTATTATTATTATTATTATCATTATTATTATTAATATTATTATTATTGGTTGCATAATTCATACATAAATCAAAAAATTCTTGAAAATTTCCATCAATTTCATAAAATTGTGGATTTTTTATTGATGATGTCGATGCGTTATAATTGTTGTGATCATTGTTTTTTCCTATTGGATTGGGAGTTGAAGTGTAAATTTCTTCCATTTCCTCGTCTTCGTCTTCACCTATGTCATCATAATTATTTCCTGCTTTTAAATAATTAAATTATTATTATTATTAAAATATTATTATGTAGATTACTGCTAACATGCATGAACACACTTATATAAAGAATAATAGCAACTAACCATTCTTATAATACGAAAGATTACTTTGTTGTGGATAAACGTAACCTATGAAAAATATTGAAAATATAAATATAATAAATAAATTATTATTTTACTTCATTCGAATTGTCGATTAATTAATTATTTCAATTCAATTTATAATACCTTTGTTTCTTGTCAAATCGTCATTTTGTTTCTTTGCATACTTTTTCATTTTCTCAATCACACATTTATTTTTGTTCTCACACGCACACTCTGTATACTTTAACAAATTATAGACAGCGCTCATTTGAATTCTTTTATTTAAATCAATGACTTGATCTAAATCATCATCATCATCATTACCACCACCACCACCGCCATTATTGTTATAATCTTTTCTTATAAAGGTATGAGCAACATGATTATTATCCCAATCCCACCCAACTGTTATTTCTTGATCCTGCATTATATGACATTTAGCAAATATACCCAAATGTAATTGACGATCTTTGACAATACCATCATTAATATACATTGTTCGTGTTTCAGCATTAGGATTACATGAACGTCTAACAAACCTTGAATGAGTTCCATAGTGACGAGCATCCATACATAAATTTAATGTTGGATAAAATAAAACATATGGCTTTGTGGTGCCAATATCTTTGTACTCATTCGCAGGATCATCCGTGTAGTCAGATTTTAAACAAATTTTACCTTTATACTCTGCAATGAAATTTCCTAATAATATATTTGATTGAGCAAAAAGACCACAATATTGAAATTCTTTTTTCCTGTTAATAATAATTTCATTGTTGTTATTATTGTTATATTGTAATGAATTGATTTTTTTAGCAGTAGTTTTGACTAATGGACGATCCAATGATTGTCTTTCCATAGCCAAAGGATTGCCAATTTCTGCTGGTGTTAATGATAAAGAAGGTGACGATGGTAATGATTTTTTTCCTTTCATAGAAGATAACGCAGATGTGGATGATAAAGATGTGGATGTGGATGAGAAGAAGGGACTGTTGGCCATGGAGGATGATAATGATGGTGATAAAGAAGACATTGATAATTTTCTTGGTTGAGATACTAATTTTAAAACCTTATCGAAAAGTTCTTCAACATTTTGTGATGTGACAATATTTTTTTCGATCGTCACAAATTCTTCAACTTCGTTATAATGGTCATGTTGAGTATTATTGTGATTTTGATAATGAGATTGTTGAAAGTGCGAAGAAGAGTCATTATGAGATTTTGACATGTTGTAATTATTATTATTATTGAAAGATGATGATGGCATTGATGATGTGTTTGACATGAAATTTATTGAGTCATGATTATTTGATTTTAAATTTGAGTTGGATCCCATTTCTAGAAATATATATTTTTAGGAAATAAAGAAAATAAATTAGCAAAAATAGTAATAAATTTTTGTAGCCATATTGTTATTATATTATCTTTGTAAGCCTTATATATAATTGCAAAAAAAAAAAAAATCTTTTAAAGGAAATTATAATCTGTTTTCTATTGTTTGAAATAAAAGATTTAAACTGCTAGCCAATCTCTATGAATTTGATTATTATCAATTCAAACTTAATTAAACAAGTTTTAATGATTGTGCAATAATAATCTGTTAATCAACACTAACATAAAATGCTATTTACCACAAGTGAATCTCTAATTCTAACAATAAATGTTAATAACTCTAATAATTCTAATAAAAGTCGGCAAATATATAAATAAATAAAAATATATTATGATAAAACTGAAATCTTACCAAGTTATATTAATATAGCAAGTAGTTGATGTATAGATTTCGTTTAAAAAAAGTTTTAATAATATTAAATTGAATCATAAACCAAATTTGGGTAAATATTGCTTGGTCACGTGAAAAACGTTATTTAAGAAAAAAAAATTGAGTTGCAATGATTAATATTCCTAGATGTCCTCAAAAACTCGCCAACCTTCTGTTTAAAAAAAGGATTGTATACCTTTTGCTATTTGAAGTTTGTTCATGGACTTTGGTAAACCGAATTTTTAGGGAAGGATGAGAGCAAAACTAAAAGGTAAGTAATTGACGTGAACAATTTCATAAGTTATGGAATGAGTGTGGTGAGGAAATGGATTGTGGACAACTTATGGAGGTTTAAAAGAATTAGCAGTTGATCAGAATGCTTCGTGTTATAAGTAAGCGTTTCCCACGCATCCAACATGATGAGTCACCAGCGAGAATCTGTCTCATTACACTACAAGTACTTTTGATAAAGCAAGAAAACTGATTATATCACACGTGATTCATCCTGATCTGTGACCTGAATCATTTTTAGAATCTAATGACATGGGAGAGGTTGAAAACACAGAAAGCTAAAATGCAACGTTAATGAAAGAGCACATTGATTAAGGCATTTATACAAGTCTTTTATCATGTTCAAATAAAACGGATAATAAAATAATAATACTTACCAACTTACCTGCTATTGCTGTTGGAGCAAGTGAATTTAAGCGGAATTTCAATATAAACAGATTGAAGATTTAAAAAGAAAATAATACAATTTTCTCTTTCTTTTTTATTAGTATCTTAATAGCTAGCACATAGGGAAATACTTGATTTAACCTAATACATCTAATCTGTATTTATTTTAACCAATTGTCTTTTCTAATCTTGCAGTGTTATTTATTATTATGATAAAGATGGAGACAATAAAGATAATACATGAAGTTTAAGAAAGTTGTTATTTATACATGTTAAAGGTTCTATCATTTAGTTTTCTGATTTCTTTGAAATCCTAATTTATTCTAATTGTACTACTTGAACCTTCTGTGCTGTGTAGAATTATTTTCAAGTTATTTCTAAGTTGTTTAAGATATTTTCCGTGAATTATGTTAATCCTGAATTAATGAATAATAGAATGACAACTTTTAGTAAATTCAATTTATATTTTATGTATACTGCCTACACTCAACAATAAAGTCCCATTATATTAAATGTTAAATCAATGTAGTATTTAGTATGATTTCTCTGTAGTATTTTACATTATTTCTCAATAAAAAAACTGTTCAATCCACACGCAATGACTTAGAACTCTGTGGATCCACTCCACATATTTCGGCACAGGGTGTTTGGAAAATATTGGTATTAGTTGGATTTCCACAATGGTCTTATGTGGATTTCTCAGTGGGTTTTACACAGAAAAAATTATTGGTGACTATATACTGGTAATTGACATGTTTCATAGATTTTAAAGGAAAAAGTGGTAATGGTAATTAATTACATAATTGCGAATTAAGCAATTACCATTCCATGTATAGTAATAGCATATATACATATTAATACATATATTAAATTTTGATTATATCCTATGTTACAGTTAATAAAATTTGAGTTAAGCAAAAAAAAACATGACTAATAATCATATATGTGAACCTAGGAATTGTGAAGAAGATTGACCTTTTTTTTGTAAACCTTTTTTCTTTTTTATAAATCTCCTGAAACTCTTCTCTGCAATTAATGCTACACATACATCAAAAAAACATGCTTTCCTGATGCATCTATATCAATTTTGGTAAAATTGTTCAAGTTTGCAAGCTGTTAGACAACATTTTGATTAGAGGCATATAAAAATCATGGGCTATTTAGGACCTCTTGTAAGGAACCAAAACTACTAATCATCATAATAGTACAAGTTTGTTTATTTATTTGTAAAGTATATATTTATTTTAAACTATTGATAATAATTACTTATTCAGATTATTCATTCTATTCAAATTATTCATTCTATTTGTTTTGTTTGTTCTATTCAAATTATTCATTCTATTCACTTTGTTCATTCTATTCACTTTGTTCATTCTATTCATTTTGCTTGTTCATTCTATTCATTTTGCTTGTTCTATTCATTTTGCTTGTTCTATTCATTTTGCTCATTCTATTTGTTTTGTTCATTTTATGCATTTTGTTTGTTTCGTTCATTTTATTTGATAAAACTTTCAATGTAATTTGAATACTCAAATTCATAACAAATAAAATAAATAATTTGAACCATTAAAGGCAAGATATTATAATAACAATAGTAAATAATAGCAATAATAATAATGATAGTAGTAGTAGTAATAATACCAGCAAGCTTAATACCATCTGAAAAGGGTTTTCATCAATTGGGATTTATCAAGTTCTTAGCTGGCTAAGGTTTTTCTATTGGCTAACATCACTATCTGGAACACCTTGTGAATATAAACTGGAAAAAAAATTTGTGAAAAATTGAATTTTGTGCCAGAAACCCCAAGTTATACAACAGGACTGAAATTAATATCTCTAAATTGTTTTGTTACTGCCAAGGAACAGTGATAAAAATTCCTTTATATTCTAATAAAAAAATGAACAAAGGTATTTTTTTCATACACAGAAAAATAACTATTTTAAAAATATAAAAGGGTTTTATTTAATATTGCTTTATAATAAAATAATTAGCTGAATTCTATAAAGGTAAATAAATATTTCACAAAATAAAATTTATTATGGTGTCATCTTATTAAATAAATTTATTATATTCTTAGGGGGTAAGCATTATATTATAAATTAACATCATCTAATTAAATATTTTAATTTTTTATTTTTTTATAATAACCAGTTGGTAAGTATTATATTATAAATTAACTTTTACAACACAAAATAAACTTTATTAAAATATCATCTAATTAAATAATTTTATTTTTTATTTCTTTATAATAACCAGGGCGTAAGTATTATATTATAAATTAACTTTTACAACACAAAATAAACTTTATTAAAACATCATCTAATTAAATAATTTTA